TTTTTTTTTTTTTTGGTGGACGAGCAACCTACAATCTATTTGTTTTAGCAATGTTTATTTATCTATTTATTTTCATGTATCATATCACATGGTGACAGCATTTGTTGTTTCATGTTGTATGTCCTTAGTGGAGAAGAAGGAAAAGAAACCATCGAAACCTAGAGAACTTCTGCCATTTGAAGGAATGGAAGTACGCACATTTTAAGTTACACATTTTTGAGAAAGTGAATGTGTTCACACGTGATTAATTAAACATGTTAAATTATGGTCATTTTTAATACATTTCACACATTTACTTAATTTGACATGATAGCTGCTTTATTCTGTTCTGTGTGATTTTTACCAACTAATTCAAAGCGGATTGAAAGCGCTCAACAATTCAAGTGTCGTCTTCTTTCCAAATTGTATATAAACCAAACCTAGATGGTATGTTTAAAGTAAAGTCATTTGCAGTTACACTTTGTTTAGTGTAATTTAATCATTATTAAAGCTCAGCAAATGAAATCTCACCCACGAGTAAAACAACCTCCTTGATAGGAATGTTAATAACAATGGAGGACTGTGTTTACATAACAGTAATACTACTTACTTTCCGGAATGTGTTAACTCTGACAAACTAGCAAATCTCAGCTGCTTGATTGGTGAAAAATATAAAATATATTAACAGCCAGCTATAGTGCAAATTTACCTGCATACATACAGTACACTAACGTAAAGTGATATATACTCTATAGCAAATCTCAACTGCCTCATTTTATTTTTATGTGACTATATTATCGCTCAGCTCTTTATGTAAAGTTGGGTATGTACAGGTGCATCTCAATAAATTAGAATGTCGTGGAAAAGTTCATTTATTTCAGTAATTAAACTCAAATTGTGAAACTCATGTATTAAATAAATTCAGTGCACACAGACTGAAGTAGTTTAAGTCTTTGGTTCTTTTAATTGTGATGATTTTGGCTCACATTTAACAAAAACCAATCAATTCACTATCTCAACAAATTAGAATACTCCATAAGACCAATAAAAAAAACATTTTTAGTGAATTGTTGGCCTTTATTGAGATGCACCTGTATGTCCAGCTTTATCTACATATATACATTATTCACATTGGGCAATATATTCTACAGTATATATATATTATATAGCATGTCTCAACTGCTTGATTGCTTTAATCTTTGGAAAATGTAAACTATATTATTGCCCAGCTCAAATCTGTCAAATCTGACTGTAAGTCAGAAAGATATTAAGGTTTTATAAACATTAACATGTTTTTTTTTGTAAAGCTGCTTTGAAACAATGTGTATTGTGACATATTGTATACATAAATATTTTACTTGATTGAGAGCTTTGATGGTCATAAGTTGTCACTAAAGTTGATATATTACCGTAATACTTTTTTCAGATTGATGAGGAGGCCAATATTAATAAAATCGATTATTATATTGAGCTGTTGTATGAAAGCATGCCTGAGAAGATTAGAGGCTCCACTCTGATCCTCCATCTGGCCCGTAACCCTGATAACCTGGAGGAGCTCCTGCATAATGGTAACTCTTTTTTGTTCTCAATTCACTGTCAACAGTGTTATTATTCTGCAACAATCTGTCATAATAAACATATGAACTGCCACATAACAGCAGGGATTTCAGTGGTCCTTAAACTCTTGCAATATATGTTTGATTTTGTCAGATTATCCAGTTGTTTTTGACTAGTTTGATGTTTTTCAGAGGCTGTGCTTGGAGCTCTTGCGCGTGTCCTGAGAGAGGACTGGAAACACAGTGTGGAGCTGGCAACTACTATCATCTACGTCTTCTTCTGCTTCTCAAGGTACATCATTTCTGTACAGTTTATTTTTTGTCTTAGTTGTTGTGCTTTAAAGGGCCTGAAACAGAATCGAGTAGGCAATGTTTGAAGAGGATTTTAGTGTGCTGATTGTTAATGTGCTGTCAGCATGATGAAGTTAACTCTCTCTAAGAAGTGGTGTCTCTAAATTCAAACCCTTTTAGCATCACCGCTGCAGCCGTCAAAACACAGCTTCATCAACTAATTCAGGGCTTCAAAATTAAATTTCAAAACAATTACTTACTTGGACTTTAAATCGCCTACTGTGAGCAATTTTCCTGGTATGCTCTGATTGTAATCTGTAAGTGTCTATGGGGACTAACAGAGGTTTACAGACACTATTGACAGTTACACAATTGAATGGTAGGACTGTGGTTCGACTTTTAAAAATACATCTCATCTGTTGCACTCCATTCAGCTATTTTTGAACACAAAAACACATTATGTGGCATCCTTAGGACTGACCAGTTACCTAGCCAATCAGGTAACTCATAACTAGTCGATTATGAAAATATGTACAGACTGTTCAAAGGATTGGGGCCAGAATTTTTTTCTCCTTAAATTAACAGGATGCTTTATATTGGTCACACGTGACAGTAAAGACTTCTACATTGTTACAAAATATTTCTATTTCAAATAAATGCTGTTCTTTTGAAAAAATACAAATAAAAAATATCACGGTTTCCATGAAAATATAAAGCAGCACTACTGTTTTTAACATTAATAATTAGAAATGTTTCTTGAGCACTAAATCATGATATTAGAATGATGTCTTAAGGAACATGTGACACTTTTATTGCGAAAATTCAGTAAATGAATTTAATAATAAATAAATGATATTTGAAAGCCTATTCAAATAGAAAATGGGTATTTTAAATAGTAATATTATTTCACAATATTACTGTTTTTACTGTACAAATAAATGCAGTATTGGTGAGCATAAGAAACTTCCTTTAAAAACATTGACTCTTGCTGACCCCAAACTTTTTAACGGTAGTGTAGAGAGAGAAGTATGCAGCATATTCTGTTTTGGAGGATTAATATACTACTTCCATTTTTTATTTTTTATAGAAGCAGATTGCATACCAGATATTCTGATATAGCTCTTGTATAAGGTTGAAAGCCTTAAGAAAACCTTGATACGCTCTCAAAACATCTTTAGTAGCTGCAGATCAGGTTACTGCTTTTACTGAGATAGCTGTCAGCATTTATTTGAGCTATGAAAGCGTGTGCTCTCATTTGATGGTTTTCCTTGGCTCTCATTTTCAGATGGCTAATGTGGAAATTTCTTTCCGCTAGCTAGAATGACTTTGACGTTTGAAGGATGTATTTGAAATGTATGATGAGTTGTTTGGCCCGATCTTTCCGTTCTGTTTATGTACTAATCAGGACTAGAGTATGAAATTCATCTGGCACGTCCGTCTCGGTGTCTCTGCATACCAGCCATTGTCTAGTTCTCCGATTGTATCGCATACATCAGTGTCTGGCCGAATGTGCCAGGAGAGGTCGGAGCGGGACAGACCCTCACCACTTGTGTTCTTCCTGCAGTTTCTCGCAGTTCCACGGGCTCATTACACACTATAAGATTGGCGCGCTGTGCATGAACATCATCGAGCACGAGCTGAAGAAATATGACCTGTGGCAAGATGAGTTAGAGAAGAAGAGCAAGGCTTATATCCTTTTTATCAATCTCTGTTCAATCAAAAAATGCATAGCACAAAATAAATGTGTTAAATGAACTAGATTACTCCTTAACATATCCACGTGAAGAGGATCCCGAAAACCAGAGCTTGCGGAAGGAGTATGAGAAAACCCTTAAGAAATACCAAAGCCTCCTGGTCAAACAGGAGCAGCTGCTGCGAGGTACAGGAAGTGGAATGTTTTATTTGCCACAGTTCAGTAGGAATCATCCATGAAGCCTTGATTAGGTGTTCCTCTTCCTCCCCACGACTCTAGTTGCGTTCTATCTGCTGTTGAATCTGTCTGAGGACACCCGCACCGAGCTCAAGATGAGGAACAAGAACATTGTGCACCTGCTGGTCAAGTCTCTAGAGAGGGACAATGAGGAACTGCTGGTGCTGGTGGTCTCCTTCCTCAAAAAGCTCAGCATCTTCTTGGAGAACAAGAACGACATGGTGAGATCTTCTTGGTGCCAAACACATCAGAAGCTTTAAAATACAATTTCTTGAGTTATGAAATCACTAAACACTGCTGGTCAAAAGCTTGGACTGATTATGGTTTTTGAATGTTTTCGAAAGAAGTCACTTGTGCTCACCAAAGCTGCATTTATTTGATGAAAAATAATGTAAAACAGTACTGGTTATATTGTGAAATATTATAACAATCTAAAAGAATTGTATTCTATTTGAATATATTTTCAATTGTACCTTGTTCCTGTAATCATAAAGCTGAATTTTCAGCAGTCATTACTCCTGTCTTCAGTGTCACATGATCCTTCAGAAATCATTCTAATATGCTGATTTGGTGCAAAAAAGATAGTAAAGACATTTACAATGTTATAAAAGGATTTCAAATTCATTTCTTTTGAACTTTGTATTCATCAAAGAATCCTGAAAAAATTATATCACTGTTTCCACAAAAATACTAAGCAGCTAAAGCTGTTTTCAACAACAACAAGAAACATTATTAATAACTGCGCACCAATAATAAATACTAATATTTGAAAATCATATCATTTCGAAGGATCATGTGACACTGAATACTGGAGAATAATTGCTGCTGAAAATTCAGCTTTTCCATCACGGGGGGGAATAAATTACGTTTTAAATTATATTTTAAAAAGACAACCGTTCTTTTAAATGGCAATAATATGTCTCAATATTATTATTTAATCAAATAAATGCAGCCTTGGTGAGCATAAGAGGTATAAAAATCAATCAATCAATAAAAAAATTATTTATTCAAAAACGTTTGACTGGTATATGTAGATCAAATATAAATATGATGCATTTTATTTAAGCATAAAGCTGCATCTTTAATGCGTCCTGAAGAATTATGGGGTCATTTATAGCAGGAAGTTTCTGTCATTGCTGTGCTGAGGTTCGTCCTGGATGTCCTACACTGCTCCACTGTCAGTGCACCTGGAATCAATCTACTCTGGCTATGAATGTACATTTATCAAGACAGAAGTTGTTTTTATTCCTGTATGGCTTAACCAAATCCTTGTTGTAGAAAAAAAAAATAGACTTTTGGCTTTGAAAATCTCTCATCATATTGTACATAAAAACACGTTGGACAAAAAAACTGGCTATTATAGAAGCAGCTGAGAAAAAAAAGATGATTTTGTTTGTTTCTCCAGACTAAGCTGTTTTTAAAGTAATTTTATGTAGCTGCTTCTTTCGACTCTAATTGAACGTATTACGTGTATTTCACTTGTATGTTTGTAATAGGCTGAAATGGACACTGTAGAGAAGCTGGCTTGTCTGGTTCCATGTGAACAGGAAGACCTGATGAACGTCACTCTGCGACTTCTCCTCAACCTCTCCTTTGACACGGGTCTGCGCACCAAAATGGTGCATGTGGGTTTGCTGCCCAAACTCACTGCTCTGCTGGGTAACTCTTCTAACGTTCATATTATTATGAGACTGGAACATCATTCCACTGTAATTGAATTGCACTAAGACTTACAGCAGGGTTTATGTACTGTTTTCAAACTTTTTGGTGCTAAGGACTTTTCACAACAGTAGTTTTACAAGGGATATTGCCTAAACCCTCAGTTAGATATGATGTAGAATGTGTATATATCCTACCATTCAGGTGTTTGGGGTTGGTAAGATTTTTTTCATGTATTTCATGTTTTATGCTCACCAAGGCTGCATTATGTTCAGAAATGCAGTAAATCAGTAATATTGTGAAATATTATTACAATTTAAAATACGTATTTATTATATTTTGAAATAAAATGTTTTAAAATAAGTATTTTATTATACTTTCAAATGTAATTTATTCCTCTGATGGCAAAGCTAAATTTTCAACAGCCTCATATACTCATGAACCTTCAGAAATCATTCTAATATGTTGATTTGCTGCTCAAGAAACGTTTTTCGTTATCAATTTTAAAAAGAGCTGTGCTGCTTAATATTTTTGGGAATCCATAATACATTTTTTTTTTTCAGAATTCTAGTTATAAATATTTTTACTGTCTTATGAATAAAAAGTATTCCTTTCTTAAAAAAAAAAATAAACACTGGCCCCAAACTTTTGAACAGTAATATATAAATTATTATTATTATTATTTGTTTTTTATTTCTTACTGTTTAAAAACTACGGCTGTCAGTTGAATCAAACAGTCACTGTATTAATCACATAATTTCCAACTATTTGTTAAAATAAAAAACAGGAATAGTGTCAAATTTGGCAAATTTGTTGAAAAATTATAAATAATATTAAATACATTTACTTTATTTCTATTTATAATACTTTTTTTTTTCCTCTTTAATTTTCTGTGCACTCTCTACCACCTTCTTAAACGTCCTTGGACCTATTTGAAAACACCCGATTTTAAAAACCTTGTAAACCCAACTCTTTGCACATCTTATCCAAGCCCAGAAATGTTACTTTCTTAAAGCAGTAGATTAAAAACCAACTGGAGAATATCATTTTCCTCTTTTCCATTTGAAATAAACCGTTTTGGCCCAGCACGAAATGAGAGAAAACTTGCATGACTGAAGTTAATGGAAAAATGATATTTGTAAGGTTACCAAAGTAAAGTTATCTTTAGATGTGAATTATACACTCTTATCTTCAAACTAGAAAGAGATTATTTAAGGTTGCATCCAAGGATTTGCGCTGGAAAATCAGTAATGTTGAAATGTTTGAAAACCAACTACATCAGAATGATTGTCTTTACAAGCTGCAGAATATACAGTTACACTGAAACCAAAAACCTGCTTTGGCAGAAGCTGGTGCAGGAGCAGATGATGGAGGTTTGGCTTAAATTATGGCCATTTCTATCAGATATCCTGAATCGAGCAAAGCCAAACACATTTACCCAGTGATTATGAGTTCAGCTAGTCATGTCATAGGAGAATAATTCCTCTTTGTGTCTGTTTTCATTTTCACTCGTTCACAACAATCAAACAGCACTTTTCATGCATTTCTGTCAGGCATCAACCACAATATTTCTGGTAATTTGATGCATATGACATGCGTCTCTTTTCCTGACCAGCTCGAGTGACACCTCTGCATCGAAGCTGCTTTGTAAATCCTTCTCGTGATTACATCCAAGAGCTTAATTGCACATTTTTTTCAATGGGTTAGCCATTTCAGCAGTTAGGACTGAGTTTAAGAGCTGCCTGGCTGCCGTCGTAAAGTCAGTCCGTCTCCACTTACTCTCGCTGAGGTCAATGGCGTCTGCGGCCGCTAATGAGAAGCACATGTTCCGGCCACCGAGGGCCCGCCCAGGACGGCCCTCGCTTATTAATGCCACTAAAATATATGCCTCCTTCTGTGTCCCCAATTAAACAAACTAAGCAAACCTCTTCTTTACCTACTCCGCTTTCCTTCACTCTCTCTTCCTTTTTTATCCTGATATCCCCAGCGGTCACATCTGCTTCTAATCGCCGATGTGATAATGTGCTCTAGGGTGTCTCGGGTCCCGACTGCCTCGGTCGGACTCATAATGACTGATTATCCCATTGCTCTATCTGAGTGTTTCCTATCTCACAGGGGAGTATCGGCATTAGGGAAGAAGAGGAGGAGGGTGTAAAGTGTTATTAATGAGAATGTTTGAAGGGAGAAGCGTGAGTGTGTGTGGTGCGTGTGTATCTGCGGTCTCTCTCCCCTGTGGATTGAGTTTGGATTGTAATCACATACCCCACATGCTCTTATCTATAATCTCTGTGATAAATGATTCGCTCTCAGCACGAGCCAGTATAAATACATGATCTAACTGACCACGACTGATCAATTTAGATAGCGCTTGGAAAGTTTACATGCATTGTGAATCTCTCTGAAGGTTTTTTTCTCGTCTTTTCTTTAGGTGATGACACGTACAAGCACGTAGCGATGCGTATCCTCTACCACATCAGCGTGGATGACAAATCTAAATCCATGTTTGCGTATACTGACTGCATTCCTCAGGTGAGCGTTTTCTTCACTTTCTTCATTGTTTTCAACTATTGCTTTGAAAGAAAGCAAACCAAAATGAATTGTTAACAGGAAAAGGAAGAATTTTCTGCCAGGACACACACATCATTCCCTTCTCTTATCATAGTGACATGTTACTGTAATCAGATGACTTTTTTTTCAAGAATGAAGTAATGTAAAGAGGCTTTCGCACCAGAAAAATGTTTTCATAGTTCCTGTAACTATTGGCATACCTGCTTTTTGGCGTGTTCACGCTGCAGGGACTAGGAACTAGTTTATGCATGGGAATGTCTTTTGAGGGGACTAAATTAGCACCTACTTCACAGTAGATTCTAACTCCGCTCAATAGGAACTACCAGTGACATAAGTGTACGTTGATTGGCCAAACGCATGTTGTACGAAACACCAGAACCCGCCATTTTTAAAAAGACATGTAAACACAGTTTACATAGACTTACTCCACAAACTAACTCCAAGAACATGGAGAACAGCGATACATGGACTGACGCCCAGATAGCTGTCCTCTTTCCTCCAGTTATTGACGTTATTGAATGCCTTGCTTAAATGACATCGCTGTCAGGCACCTTACGTCACTTGAGGGTTCCTAACTGATAATGAAATGCATTGTTGTTTTTTTCTTTATCATCAAGTGGTAATTAATATAGATTATAAAATCTGTGATTGTATGTCAGACAGGCCAAAACGTGTTCTGTGGTGATACTGAAGAAATTTGAATGTCTTTCTGTATGTTTAGAATTAAATATTAGTATAATTAATTGCAGCATTACAGGATACTCTGAATTCTGTTTATTAATTGTAAAGGGGTCATATGATGCTGCTAAAAAGAACATTATTTTGTGTATTTGGTGTAATGAAATGTGTTTATGCGGTTTAAGGTTCAAAAAACGCGGCCTTGAGTGAGCGGAGGCCGGAGGGCTTGAGAATGGCGCGGCCAGCGGATTCGATGAAGGAGCGTCCGGCGGGCTTGCGGCAACCACATGTGAAGACTTTGCAAGGATTTGAGAAAAATTGAAATCGCATCATATGACCCCTTTAAAAATAGTACCTAAACCAGTATTTACTTATCCGATAACTTATCCTGTGTGTGTGTGTGTGTGTGTATACTGTACTGCACAAGTACTAAAAGGTATTTTGTACTATGCTATATCAAACATGTTTTTGCTGCTGTGGTGTGTCATGTATGTATCATGTGTGCACCTCACCTAATGTTGTAAAGTTGGCTAATTGCTGTGCTGTCTTTCTCTCACATGGCGTTAATGAGATAACCGAGCTAATTTAATTGGAGGGGGGCTTCTGTGAGGTCACCAGCAATTGCCTGGGTACAATTTCTCTGAAACAACTTCTGCCCGAGCGTTGTCATCTTTAAAATGCTTGTCTTCTCAAATTGGGTGAAAATGCCTACCAGATGCTTGTAAAAAAAAAAAAAAGTTAAATTCCTCAACCTAATCGCTCCGCCAATCCGCCTGGAGACGGTCGGGGCATGATGTCAGAATAGCTGTGGGACTCCTTAGGGAGGAATGCAATTCTTTCTTTCTTTCTTTCTTTCTTTCTCTTTTAGTTGTCCATGCTTTTGTTCTTTTTCATTCATTCTTTTAATTCTGTCATTTGTTTATTTGTTCTTTCTTTCATTTGATTATACTTTTTTGTTTGTTTATTCATTCTTTCATGTTTGTTCTTTTTTTTTGTTTTGTTCTGTCTTTCAGTTCATGTTTTTATTCATTTTTGTTCTTGTTTCGTTTATTCTTTCTTATGTTTGTTTTCATTTGTTCTTTCTTTTGTTTCTATTTCTGTCTTTTTTCTTTCTCTCTTTCAATAGCTAATGTGTGTCCGTTGGTGTCTGTGGATCTGGTGTGTCTCAGGTCTGTGCTGGCAATCAGCCTGGACCCTCTTCTGTAAGGGAGGATTTAGGATTTAGATCAAAAGGCCTCACTGCTCTGGGTTCTGAACTGGCGAGGAGAGGCCTGGCATTGGACCCATTCCTCTGCCACAAAGGGTCTCACTATAATTACTCAAAGCTGTGAGGTGTGTGTGTGTGAGGAAATGCTTGCAGGGCTTGTGGAGCTATGAAACCATGGAGAGCTCAGAGACTGAGGTGAGAGGGAGGGGATGACAAGGAGAGGCAGGGCCTCCCATTGCTGGTAAATAGGAGCAAGCAGGTGCCAGTGAGTCTAGACTGCGTGATTTGGAGGCCTGGGACCAGGTTATGTGATACTCAATATGGGAAAGGCCTGATTGCTCACTGCTGCCTCTTCACAGGCCTGCGTTGGTCTGGTCGTGCCTTCCTGTGTAACATCTAACTGGCCCATACCGTGGCCCGTGCCCATTGCGGCCAGTGGAGCCTCCTCTATCTTCATCTGTTCATCTCCTCATCTCTCTTTTTAACCACATGTGCGGAATCTGTTGGCCGCTGGCCAGTTATCTCCTTAAGACAGGCCTGCCAAGTCTCTCTCATTGGGCCGTTATCAGCTGCAGCATTGACCTGATTGAAGCGGACTGTGGGATATTGTCTCAACTCTCTCTGGCTTTTGAATAAAAACACAAATAGCAATCCTTTCGCCAACAATGACAGCACTAATGCTTCTCCCTGTCAGGAACCATCTCTTTCATTATTTATGTCTTTTCTTTTGTTTTCCATCTGATTGTTTCACGATACTCCACATGCAATACTCCTCAGTTTTGAAATGTGCTTCAATAGGCCCATTGTGATATCACTCTTTGAGGACGCTTGGAAACCACACATGAGCCCTGATGTGACAAACTATTCTGGGCTTCACATTAGATTAAGATTTTCAAGTTACTTATCTGTCTGACAGGTGTCAGCCCATAAATTTATTTATTTATTTTTTTGTGATTAAAAAAAAAATAGTACTATTTATGAAAACAACAATAATAATAAAAAAAACAATTGATTGAATTATTATTTACTTAAATATTAATACTGTTGTTGTAACATTGGTTTAGGTGCATTTAATTATTACTGATTTCATTATTATTGTTATTGAATTTATTTTTAAATTACAATTAAAATATAATTATAACAAATAATAATAGTAATACAACTAATAAATAAGAATTATACTTAGATGATCTTATTTAATAATATATTTATGTTCTGATTCTTTAGTACTTTACATTTGGAACCACAATAGTTTATAGGTGAACCTGAAGCATGGTGTGCGTTATAAGTGAACTGAAAGGATTAAACTGGTCTAAAAGGATCAGAGATTGCTAAATACAGTGGTGGCCAAAATGATTAGAACACTAGTATTTTCACAAGTTAAAAATGGTTTTAAGTCAGTTGTTTCTATCTTTTTCTGTAGTATGCCAGTAGGAAATATCAGTTCATATTTCCAAACATTCATTTTACCATTAATTGTAATAATCCAGTGAGATTTTGTTTGCACAAGGAGTCTGACAACAGCCAGTCCTCCACACAGATTTGAGCTCATTATCGTCCAGTCTGTCTGGAATGACATGAAGAAACAGAACTAACTGAGACAGACTAAATCCAGAAGAACTGTGGCAATGTCTCCAAGATGCTTAAAGAAACCTACCTGCAAAGCTAGCTGGAAAACTATGTGCAAGTGCACCTAGGGCAAAAGCTGCTTTAAATGCAAAGGATGGTCACACCAAATGTTGATTTAATTTAGTTAATAGAAGTTAATTGATGAAGAAAATCTATTTATGACATTGTTTTTTACAGCATCCTCATTTTACAGCATTTTACACACACATATATACAAATATCAAACTAATATAGTTATATTGATATATTCATTATTATTATTTTTGTTATTATATTAGTACTGTTTTTAATGATACATTTTAAAACAAAATATTACACAATTACATATTTGTTATAATATTTATTTTTTTATAATATGTATATATTCTATGTATCTTTGATCATGTATTATCTTGTACATTATTACATGTATTATTATTTCATAGAACACCAAGTGAGTCAGGCTAGCCCCATTAAAAAAAAAAAAATAGAGCATAACACTCCTGATGTGAACATGAATCATATACAGATGACTGTGACAGATTCACATGAAAAAGTAAAATTTTTTTAATTTTTTGTTGTGCTGAAAATTGCATTTTCTACATGCCAGATAAAGTTATTTGTCAAAGCAAATATATCCAGATCTAAAAGAAATGCCATATGCATGTTGGTGAATTGTACATCTAAATTATTTGGCTGAATAATTTATTAAAATACCCATGAATTATTAATCAGACCATTTATTCAAAAAATGGTAGCTGTGGGGTAAAGTGTGTCAGATATGTTGATACATGATGTGTCAGTGGACTGGATCATAATGATTTTGCTTCCAAATGCAGGAAATACTATTACAAAATGTTAAATAGTTTCAGTACATTTACTATTATGTTTCACTATATAGTGTGCACAGCAAAATGGAATTGTGCATTAGCATGTTTAATTTAGATTTATCTCATTTATGTTAATTTTAGTCCTTTGAAAGGACTATGTTCTATGTTTCTATGTTAGGCAATTTTCTTTAACATCCTGAAATAGAATTAATCCCGAATTACTAGTTTTACCTCGGTCTCATATCTCTTCGCCTAGAGGACAACTAAAGTAAAAATTGGCTCAGCATGTACCACCACCGTCAGGAGCTAGTAATGGCCGCAGCAGTAGTTCATGTCCTTGTATCAGTACTTATCAGCCCGCTGTTGCTGTGTCTCATCTGGAAAAGTGGCATGAAATTTGACAGCATCTATTTGCCTCCCCAACCCCATAATCCAATTTTCCACGCTCCTCTCTTCTGATGAAATACAGTGTGTTCTTTGGCCTGCAGAATAAGAGTTATTTTCCTGTATTAAAGCTACTGCTTTGGTAGCAGCTCGGCAGGCGTCACCTGTCGTCTCACTCTCATGTGTTCCTCTTCATATTGGAGGTTGTCTTCTCGTGCCATACTATGAGCTTTTCCATCATTTCAAAGTTAAAATGGTGAAGCATTGTGGGGTTTTTCGGTAACATAGCATCTTCTTTATTTCAGGTTTAGGTGTGTCCTGGCCCCAGGCCCCCTCTGTGGATGTCTGTCACCATGGCGAAGTTTGAGACCGGCCGCACAAGTCCAGTGGTCCGCCAGATAGACAAGCAGTTCCTGGTGTGTAGTATCTGTCTGGACCACTACCACAACCCCAAAGTCCTGCCCTGCCTGCACACCTTCTGCGAAAGGTCTGTGTCTGTCGGCATAATTAAAGTCCCTCATCTATAAAAAATTATTCTAGTTATCTAATTTCTGGTAATTCCTAATTTGATGATGCTGAGTTAAAAAATATCAACAAAAACTTTCCATCATGTACAGTTTTTTTTTCTTCACAAAATTCAATACATGTACAGTTGAAAAGTACATGTAAAGTCAAAAGTTTACATACACCTTGCAGAATCTGCGAAATGTTAATTATTTTACCAAAATAAGAGGGATCATACAAAATGCATGTGATTTAGTACTGACCTGAATAAGATATTTCACATAAAAGATGTAGTTTCATATAGTCCACAAGAGAAATTAATAGTTGAATTTATAAAAATGACCCCTTTCAAAAGTTTACATCCCCTTGATTCTTAATACGGTGTTGTTACCGGAATGATCCACAGATGTGTTTTTTTGTTTAGTGATAGTTGTTCACAAGTCCCTTGTTTGTCCTAATCAGTTAAACTGCCTGCTGTTCTTAAGAAAAATCCTTCAGGTCCCACAAATTGTTTGGTTTTCCAGCATTGTTGTGTATTTGAACCCTTTCCAACAATGACTGTATGATTTTGAGATCCATCTTTTTACACTGAGGACAACTGAGGGACTCATATGCAACTATTACAGAAGGTTCAAACGCTCACTGATGCTCCAGAAGGAAAAACAATACATTAAGAGCCAGGGAGTGAAAACTTTTTGAATTTGAAGATCAGGGTAAATGTAACTTATTTTGTCTTCTAGGAAACATGTAAGTATCTTCTGAAGGGCAGTACTAAATGAAAAAAATATGATATTTAGGCAAAATAAGACAAATTTAATGTATCTCCATTCTGTTCAAAAGGCTCTTAATGCATCATTTTTTTAAGCAACAACACAGTATTAGGAATAAAGGGGATGTAAACTTTTGAACTGGGTCATTTTTATAAATTCAACTATTATTTTCTCTTGTGGACTATATGTAAACATCT